CGATAGTAAATAATAGTCCTCGTAATAATAAGAACAATCCCTCGGAACGGACAACCCTTAGAAGCGGACATTTCTAGGTCTTTTAGAGTAGACGCAAAGAACTCGGAACGATATTACTTAGAACGGAGGCAGTGCTACAATACCTCGTACGCCTACCTGTTATAGCAGGGAAGGCGCGCTCGTATTGTAATTAGTCGATAGTCCTTAATTCTCGTAGTTATATATTACTTTATTGTATATAAGGATAGCGCAGTTAGAGTTAGACATTGTATTAGAAGTGAGGTTTAATATAGTTACATAATTAGGTAGTTGTGCGTTTAATTTAGCGCGGACTAAGCGGCTTATTAGACCTGCTAAGTTAGTAGTAATAGAGGTCGAGATTGGAATATAGATAGGCTACGAGGGCGCGGCCTTTAGAAGGGAAGCGTGTGTTAGGGCTAAAGAGGCTATACGTAATTAGCATATAATTAGGCCGAGTGAAGCTAGGGTCTTAGTACCTTAGGCAGGGCTTAGCACTTAGCAATAGGCTAACTTGCCTGCCTTCCTCCCTCTCCTCCTAGTTCCTTATCGAATACTACTTGTACCTACTACCACCCTATCTACCTACTAATATACCCTTCTTATACTAGCTTTTCGTAGTAGCTTTAACTATAATTTTCTAGATTAATAGGACTTATACCTTAGCCCTTTACTAGTATCTCGTCTCTTTAACTATACTCGATCTACTCCTAGCGCTTATTGTCTATAGTATTAGGCCCTAAGACTATACCTATTACTAGATCGACGTAGGGTATCTCCTCGCTTTTTTTAGTTCCTTTATTCGTAGTATTAAGCTCTATCGCGGTATCCTAAACTCTAGTATTATTATTCTCGGCTATCTAAATATCTCTATTACTATCGGTCGTATCGATAGAGGTAGCGGCTATAGGTCTAAATGCTATTAGTTAACGTTTTAAAGAAAAATATGCCGGCTATAGCTACCGGCTATAGCTGCTAGCTATAGCCGCTAGCTAGATTAACTTAGGCTACTCGAACTTTACGCTCGAACGACGAAAACTAGCCGCAATTCTTTCCTCCTCTTAGCCTTCTCTTAGGTTATCTTCTTATTCTAACCTTTACTTTTTTCTATAGGCGCTAGCTATCGATAGAATACCTTATTCCGCGCCTTTCTTCTCTTATCCTTAGCTCTTTTATCCTTATCTATCTTCTCCTTTCTCTCGCGGTCTCGTACGGAATTCTTCTTCGTAGAGTACTCCTCTTTAGTCTTACGCTTTTTAGTTAGATACTTAGGTAAAACAAACTCGCGATCTTTAGTTCTATCTTCTATTTAGCGCGCGGCGCGCTTCTCTCTTACTATTATAAGGAAAAGGGGCGGGGGCGTAGCGTATAGTAGTTATTATCAGTATAGATATAGAGGAAGAAGTTAAAAGGTATAAGAATATCGCGAAGCCCTAATTATTGCTACCTACGTAACGTTATATAGGTAAGCTTTCGCAACTATAGCAACTACGCCCCGGTAATAGTAACTACGCCCTAGTAATAGTAACTACGCCCTAGCAACGGCAACTACGCCCTAGTAACGGCAACTACGCCCTAGTAACGGTAATAGAGCGTAGTAAATATAACCTAGTAACTATTATAGCCGGCAATCGTAGCCGGCAGTCGAATAAGAGTGTCCTTATAGTAAAACTACGCCCTAGTAACGGCAACTACGCCCTAGTAACGGCAAAAGAGCGTAGTAAATATAACAGAGTTACTATTATAGCAGCCTAGCGGTCGAATAAGAGTATCCTTATAGTAAAACTAATATAGTCTCTAGTTTAAACTAGGAATCTATATAGTTCGAAAAAACTAAACCGGAACTAGGGAGCTAGTTCGCCGCTAAGAAACCAAACTATATATGTTTAGTAGTTCGGAAACCGAACTACTGCAGGGTCTAAGCGAGTCGCCGTTTTAGTACCTAGTAGATAAGTATTTCGACTTCTAGATAAGAAAGCCGGTTTAGAATCTAATTGAATTACTAAAGAATATCTATATTATAGTAGGATACTATTATTACGCTAACTATTTAGTAAAAGGAGGCTCTCGCTATATTACTATACTAGCTATATTTTAAAGTTTGCCGTACCTGCCTTTTTTAGCCGTACCTACCCTTTTTAGCCGTACCTACCTTCTTTGCTTACTCTAACTTTACTAGAATATAGGCTTACGCGATGCTTAATCTATTAACTAGCGATACCGCGATACTACCTCTCTCGCTATATATAATCTTCGTATTAATACTTATATCTCTACGCTCTATTTCTACTATCTTTACTATATCCTCGCTTTGCGCGCGCCTTCTTATACCTTTATAACGTACTCTTTTATTAATTCGATAACTTTTATAATAGCGAGTCTACTTAACTAAGTTACGACGTCTCGTAAGAAGGGACCTACTACTACTACGGATCGTAATAAGACCGGACCTACTAGAAAGAGTATAATATATCTACGTAAGAAGGCTACTACTACTACCGCTAGCTCTAGTACTAGAAAGCGTATCGCGGGTAAGGCTCCGCGTAAGACAACGACTAGCGCTTCTACTACTAGTAGCAATAATCGTACTAAGCGACGATAGCGCTTAGGAAGTAAATTTTATCTATAGCCGGTAGCGTAGTCGGTATTTTTACTCCTTTTTACTAATCCTTCTTTAGCCGTTACGGTAGCCCTTCGTAAGATTCGGAGGTATTAGAGTATTAGTAAACTCCTAATCCGTAAAGCTCCTTTCTAACTACTTATTTGTAAAATTAACTAAGGTAGTATATTAGACTATCGCTTCTAAGCCTCTGTAATAGAAGCCCTTTAGGAGGCTATAGAAGCCTACCTAGTTCGTATCTTCGAATATATGTTTCTCTTCTACCTCTTTTTAAACTATACTAATACTATTTTAGCTATTAACCTTATAGCTATCTATAGGAAGCGCGTTACGATTATAAATAAGGATTTCAAAGCCCTCGATTAGATTCTTAAATGCTAGAATGTCTATATTTGAGATAGTAGTAGGTAGGATAGATATTCTAGTAGGAAGGATATTCCTAGTATTATCTATAAGCGTTTCGATATACGAAATATACCGCTGTTATACGGCGCTATATACCCCGCTCTAAATACTCTCTAAGTATATATATATATATATAGTATAGTATAGTATAGTATGCTTTATTAGCCGTACGGAATAGAAGTCTTCGAAAATTCTATTAGTACTAAGGAGTAAAAATGCCGGCTACGCTACTAGCTATACTACCGGGTCTTATAAAGAACTAAAAGAAGATAGCTATTCTTATTAATTTATAATAGTTTAGATTATTATAAAAAGAAAATAGGGAAAAAGGAGGAAGGTTTCAGAACCTAAAAATAATATTTATAGGAGTTATCCCTAATTTCTAGACTATATTATATACCTGCTTTCGTAACTCTACCTAATATACCCTCTAAATATCCTTATACTCTATCTACTAGAAATTTAACGAGGTACCTAGATCTATAGTAGCCTCTATATCTTCTACTATCTTCTATAAGTAAAAGCACTCCTTAATAGTAGCCTCTACCTCCTTATATAATACGGAGTTACTTCCTACCCTACCCTTTATATCTACTAAATAACTAAGAGTTCTAAGGAACGAACTAGAATTCAGATATAGTATAGCGAGTAACTAGTATAGGGTAGTATAGAGCTACTTTATAGATCTTTTATATACTATACCGATGCCGGGGAAGGAGCTAATCTAGTACTTAATATTAGTAAATAGTTTAGTAGGAAAGTATTAGAACTTCTTAAGAAGAGCTTTAAGGGAAATCGATAAGTTCTACCTAGATCTAGATAAAGACATTCTACTAAGTAGTTAGGGAATTAAATAGGGAGCGAAAGGATAAAATTTATACCTAAGGAGTATAGTTTCTAAACTATACTATAATAGCTTATATATATGTAAATACTTAATTAGTTAGTGCCCTTAGCTAATTGTCTATAGATCTTCGTATAACTAAAAAATGCCGGCTACGCTACCGGTTATACTACTAGGTCTTATAAAGGGCTTGCTTTAAGTTACGTATATATTCCTATACTTCTTAGAACCCGATAAATTCTATAGTCCGAACCTACTACTCCTATAGTTACTTAGTAAACTAACCTAGACTAAACTAGAATTTCGTCTTAGCAAACTAAACTAAACTAACTAGAACTACTACGGGGTCTATATTTTAATTAGATATACTAAGTTAAGATAACCTTAGTTCCCTTAACTTAGTATAGTTAAGGATTCTATAACTAGTTAAGGCTACTACGTTATAATAGCGTTAATATACCCTTACTATAGGGTTAGTAGTAGAAGCTTTATTAGAAGAGTAGCTATTATATAATAGATATAGAAGTAAGGTTTAATAATAAGATTACTAGTAATGTAATTAGCTAGTTAAGCGTTTAATTTAGCGCGTAAGAAGCGCGGCTTATTAGATTAGTAACTTAGCGAGGGGATAGTAAAAAATAGCTACGAGGGCGTAGCCTTAGCCCTTTAGAAGGGAAGCCTATATTAGAGGGTTTGCAAAAGGCATATAACTAGCCAAGTAAAGCTAGGGTCTTAGTACCTTATGTAGGGCTTAGCGCTTAGCGTTAGCCTAACTTCCTAGCCTTCCTCTCCCTCCTTTATAGACCCTTTCGAATGCTACACGCTTTTAACTACACTATCCACCTGCTTGCATAACCCGTGTCACACTACTTATAGGCCGATTTTACCCACTTAGCACTTGCCTCTAGCCAGGTTTCACCACATATCCCTGGCGTGGTGGTGTTGCGATGGGAGCGGAAAACTCTGTCCGCAAGTCCATGTTCATGCTCGCTGCTGTGTCAACAGGAATTGGAATGAATGCACGCATCATGGACTCTTGCCTGTGCAAGAGAACGCCCCAATAATGACTTGCAGTCCTTCGACCAACATCTATGATTCTGAGCCTGACACCAATCAGAAGAGGGCATCCAGCTCTTTCATCACTTTCGCGTCCCAGAGTCTACAGCTCGCAGTCTCCTCCTCCTCCTCCTCCTCCTCCAAGCTTCTTCCTCTCAGCTTCTGGCCGTCGCCCATCGCCTGGCCCCAAAGCTCGCCCACCCTTTCCATGGCACTAACGAGAACATGCTTTGCCGGCTTTCTCGAGATCTCGATGGTCTCCTTCAGGCTCTGGTCGTCGCTTTGCTTCCACAACTCACTGACATCGGTCCTCTGCGTCAAGACATCCAACTCGATCCTTCCCCAAATACCTTCCATGGGCGGGCTTGCAAAGTCAGACAAAGTGTGCATGACATAGGCGTGCGACCTCGCCATTTGTGCGTAGGCCGAAGACATGTTTTCAAAGAAGTTCCTTTGAGTATTTTTCGAGTTGTGAATGCATCTTAGCTTGTTCGAGACGTGATTGGAAGAGTCGTAGAGCTCTGATGGCCAGATGTCCCAGATTGTGACATACTTCCAAGGGTCTGAGCAGGCTAGCTTCCTCGCTCGTTCGCCTGCGCCGCGGGTGTAGAAGACGGCTTTGTCTATGAACTCTCGACGGAAAGATTGTTTGGTGTTTTGCAGGAACCAGTCAGGTGTGAAAGTGGTAATGTTGAGGCAGTCGCTATTTGGACTCAGGACTGTTTGCTTCTCCGGCTGCACACCGTCGAAAGGCGATGTCGAGACTGACGAAAATAGCAGGAAAATTGTGACGAAGGTGAATGTGGCCCGGCAAGAGATGGCCATTATGAGCGGTCGGCTGGAGAGTAGAGCTGGACTTTGGTCAGCCGCTCCTCGAACGGTATACTGAGGCAGGACTAGTGATCGTGGTCTTCCTTTGAGCCTCAACAGTCAAGAATGATAGCAGAAGAAGCTCATAGGTCTTCTATAGTGCCGACTGCAAAACACGCGTGGGCACTTGCGCTGATATTTGAGATAACAGTAATGGGGAAGGCGCAGCGAGCTGGGGTTTGCCACAAATCGAGGCTGCGCCTGGTTCGTGTTGTGGGATCCTTCATGCTGAGCCAAATATACATACCCTGTCCCTTGTGCACAGTGACACTGCAGATGGCATCTTACACATTGCGTGCTTACATTGTGAATGCCAGCTGGAAGGGGGGGGGGGGGGGAAGGGGGAGAGGGGGAGTTATAGTGTAGCATGCCGAGATAACCCGAGTAATGTAGTGTGTTAAATTCTGGGGCCGACTCCCGGCCGAGTAGCCGCTCATTTAGATCTCTGATGTACAGCATCCACTTGGAGATGCAAAGGTGTGCCAAGTCAGCGGGTTTCCCGACACATCCAAGCGAGGAACCCCCACCTGCCTCATGAAATTCGATGCTGGAGAAATATGCACGTCGAAGAGCCGCCTGTTATGCTTGCCCGTCGTGTAGCGAATGCTTCAGGAGTTAAAAGGTCATTTTCACCTCTTGTTCTTTCCCGAAATCTGGATCATCGGCATCTGCTGACCAGGGATTGTGGTCAGGACTCAAGACAGGCGGACTCGGACTCGCTATCGCACTGCTGGTTGGAGCGGGCGTGGTTGTGATGCTTCGGAGATTGAGTCTCTCACTCACAACTCTTCGCTGGTCCCAGCTCTGCTCTGGTTTCTGGGGCTCGGGCGTCCCAAACCTCGCCCTATGTGGCTCTGGAGTGCCGTATCTGGACTGAGGCGCCGAACCATGCTCTGAGCCTCGTGCGCCCGTCAAGGAGGAATGTGACCGTTCGTGCCTATCTGATTCGAAAGACGTTTGGTTCCTGGATGCGCCATCATTAATGGGCGACAGAGTCCCATTGGCGCTGGCGTCGCCGTTCCTGCGCACTATGCCATCGTGTGACGGACTCTGCTTGAACTCATGTCGCGAAGCGCTGTCGGTCGTGCTGCCATCGGCTGTGGCAGGCTTCGGCAGCTGCACCTTGAGCACGGGCAGCGTGGATTGGATCTCTTTCACGGAAAGATGTTTCTTGATCTCTTCGATGTCACCGGGTTGCTGCAATGCCAATTTCAGGGCTTCGGCACGGATAGCCTCAACGTCAAACATGACATTGGCCGTCTCGGCAGCATGCTGCTCGGACTCTTTATCATCGCCTTCGAGCACTTTCTGACTCCTTTCGTCATAGGTCTCCCACGACTTCTTTTGTGGTTGCTTCCTCTTCGTGAACCACGACTTGAACCCTTTCTTTTGAGGCTCTTCCTCGAGTTGTCGGCGGGCTTCCTCGATCTCATTGATCAGCTCGCGCTGGCGCTTTTCATGGTTCTCTGGATCCGGATCCTCAATCTCACTATACTCCAGACTTTCCATCCGCCAACCAACTTTATCCAATAGAGTGGGCATCATACCACGATAGGCCATATGACCAGGCACCTCGTCAGTGACATTGACGTTTTCAATACCCTCGATGTCGACGCTCGCAAGTCCAGAAACCCGCAAGATACCACCTTGCGTTGCGCGAAACAGGTACCCTAGGATCCAGTCATTCGTGGCATATCCATTGACGAAGCGTCCCGACACGACTGATCTCGCTTTGATCCATTCGTCTTTCTTTACAACCACCGGCGAGCCAAACATGTAGACATTCTGCACAAGGCCCGTCGCACCACGTCGGGAAAGCTCTCTCAGGCAAGCGAAAATGACTCGAGACCCGAGTGAGAAGCCAACGAGTGTGATTGGTCTCAGACCAAGATTTCTGTCGATGATTGAATCTGCCAAGATCAGGCCGGCGGCATCCCCGCGAGAGCAAGCTGTTGTCCAAGGATTGTCAATGAGATATGATATCTTTGCTAAGATGATGGGGGCCTGAAGGCCAGCCATGAGCGTCGCGAGGACTGTAGCACCCAAGATCTGTTGTATGGTTTGCGTGAGAGCTTCGGTGCCCAGGATTTGTATTGTCTGACCTGTACTCTGCAGCATCTCTGGCTCCCAATTCACAGAGTAGATGTCGCCCATGATGGGGTCGACCGTGCTAAAGGGCAGCCGGACATCATCGACGGCACCTGTCATCCACCCGGCCACCGTGACGATGAGATTAACTCGTTTATTATTGAAGAGCGGCTTGTACTCGAAGGTCGATACAGCGGCGGTTCTTCTGCTACTTGTCGTCTGGCCAATGCGGCCTCCAATCAATGTGCCACCGGTTCCAATGAGCGCCGCAGCGCCAGCGCCACCAAGAAAGGTTCCGGTCCCGGTGACTCCAACTGCAGTGAAGCCAGCTGCCAATCCGGCACCGATGACAGGCGCGAGAAGTCCAGAACTGAGGCCGATGACTAAACCACCACCAACGGTACAAAGACCCATGACCATGAGGCGCTTCCTCTTGGCTGCCTTCTTGCGTGCTTCGAGATGCTCCTCCTCATTCCAGTTTTCCTTCTCAGCTTGCTCTTGCATCTCGAGTGCATCGGTCACGCGCTTCTCGAAACGGCAGACCTCCTGCCATCCAACAGAAAGCGCGGCGCCGACTTTCTCCAGAAGCGTTCTCGATCGGGCATCGTAAGTGCTATCTGCTATGAGCAGGAGGAACAAGTCACAAAGTACTGTCCATCGGATGTCTATGTCGAGGTTCTTCGCATCTTCGTAGTCGTCCGGATTTTCAATGGTGAGCTCGCCAGCCGTGTGCTCTTCATAGGCTGGCGGTGGTGTCTCTGTATCTCGCGAAGCAGGCGTTCCTGGTTTGGAGGGAGGCGCGGAAATGGTCGTAGACGTTACACGCGTCTCGATCGTACTTGACGGTCTCGGCGATGCCATTGAGGGCCGTGAAGAAGAGGGCTCAGACTCTTGTTCCGTTTCTGCCTTCGGATTTTTCACGCGTGCATTCGCCATGAGCCTGGGCGTCAGGTCGGCAGGCAAGACTCCATGTTCAGCGAGCTGTTCGACCATGATTTGTTCTCTCGCGTCAATCTCCATGTGAGTATATAAGCGGATCATGGTCTTCTGTGACCACATCTTGAGGGCCCCGCCGGCATAATCTACAGCTTTCTTGGCGTTCTTGGTTCGCTCAAGCCGGTCGAAGTCTTGCTGCATGGCGGCAATGGAGAGCCTCACAACGCCGACGTAGGCTATCTTCTGCCCATCGTCCAACAATTCCTTCGTAGCTTGCATCTGAGAGATGATATCTCTGCCTTCTTCATCGTCTTCGTCTAGAGTGTTATTACGGGTGTAGGCGTCTTTGAACAGATACGCCGTGTTGTCGTCCATGCTGGTGGCACTCTGAGCATCTTCGTCCATCTGAACGCGCGTGTAGCCTTTGCCAGCACCTCCCAGCGTACCGTACGCGACCTGCTCGTCCTCGACTTCATCAAACTCTTTCGCCAGCACTTTGCCCCAGTCGTCGTAGATGCGATGTGTCGCCAAGGCCGGCATGTCTTGCCACTCATCCTCTTCAGCTGCCTTCGCTTCTTCCACGGACATGCCAGGGGCCATCTGCTGGTGGGAGAACTCGCCGACAGTGCTGACGGAGGCATTTTTGGCATGACGAGAAAAGGTGGGAGATTCAGGTGCTCTGGTGCTCGTCTTCTGTGGTGGAGAGACGTGGTCCTCGCTTTCCTTCCCAGCAGTAGGGCTTTCGTGCTCCTTGGTCACGGCAGGTCTGGATGCGTCTCCTGTGCCATTGATATCCGCCTGCCCGTCGTCTTGGCTCTCGGCGGCATTCTGCGCAGCTGCGCCGTCGATCTTTTCCCGCTTGACATGCCCATCGACCTTCTCCATGGCCTGCTGCCTGATGGCGTGGGGACTGTCGAGCGAGTCCAAGGTGAAGTGCCGCCTTCGAGGAGGCCTCACCGGCAATCCGAATTCGTCTGCCTCGGGAGGCTCTGGCTTGGGCTGGCCATACTGTTCGCTGCGCCTGCGCCTCGGATGCACTCGCAGTCGCTTCAACTTGGGACTTTCGGGTTCGCGGACATGTTCTGGGCTCTGGCTCTCGTGTGCGTGCTGCTCGGAGATGGCATGCTCGGCCTCAGGCATGCTGCTCGCCGTCGCGACAATAGAATTGCAGGGAATGGCGGGCTTGCAGTCGCATCGCCTGCAGGAACAACGACTGCGCGTCGGGGCGATTTCCATTCGCAGCTCGCTCTGTTCACGACCCGCGGAACTCGACCGGCTTTGTCTTGCCCACCGCAAGTCAGGCAGTGGCACGTGTGCGTGTGCGTGTATACAGTATACACCTGCATGCCGAGCGAAACCTTCCTGCAGCCTTCCCGTCTCCGCCTCCGCATCCGCATCCGCATCCGCATCCGCACCCGCCGCCGCCCAACGCGCGCTTGATGGATGAGCTTAAATCAAAATTATCTGGCGGATTTGCCGTCACCCCGAAAGAGATTGATTCCACTTCTCACAACAAGTATCGCCCGTCGCCCGGCATGAAAGGCAAACGCTCCAAACAGTATCGCAAGTTGATGCAGCAGTACCAGCTCAACTTCAACTTCCGCGAGCCCTACCAAGTCATCCTCGATGCCGACATCATCAAAGATGCCGCACGATTCAAGATGCAGCTGGGCCAAATGCTCCAGAACACTCTCCACGGCGAGATCAAGCCCATGATCACACAGTGCTGCATACGCCATCTATACAACGAGCCTGCATCGCCGGAGAAAGATGCCTGGATATCAGTCGCAAAAGATGCAGAGCGCCGCCGATGTGGACATCATGAGCTGGAAGAGCCTCTGAGTGCATTGCAGTGTATCGAGAGCGTGGTCGATCCGAAAGGAACGGGCAACAACAAGCACAGATATGTTGTCGCCGTGCAGGATGACCAAGTGAGGAGAAAGATGCGCAAAGTAGTGGGTGTGCCCTTGGTGTACATTGCGAGGAGCGTCATGATCCTCGAGCCCATGGCAGACGCGACACAGGAAGTGCGGGAGCAAGCTGAGAAAGCCAAGATCAGGGCAGGCTTGAATGCCAGGAGACCGAATAGCACAGGCGAGAAGAGGAAACGAGACGACGAGCATGAGGATCACGACAAAGAGAATGAGGCGCAACAAGCGCCCAAGCCGAAGAAGTACAAGGTCAACGGCCCGAAAGGCCCAAACCCCCTCAGCGTGAAAAAGTCGAAGAAGCACAATGCGAAAGACAAGAAGCAACACGAAGGCCACAAGCCTGCGCTCCGCAAATCCAAGCAAGAATCACAGGCAGGTGACCAGGCCACTGTGGCACCTCAAGTGAGTGAGGAGGCTGGCGAAGAAGGGCAGAAGAAACGCAAACGCAAGCGCAAAGCCAAGGAACCGAGAGTCGCCGCTTGCCATGAGCACGAGTACGGGTCCGAAGAATGATTGGCCGAAGCGTTGCATTTTTTTTTTTTGCTATTGCCGCAAGAGATACCCTCTCCAGTCATGACTTTCAGTACGAGCCCCCGTGGCAGCGACTAATTCTAATCGCACTCTTCCCGGCTATTACGCCACCACCTCTGTATGCCAGCATAAATTGTTCCACATCCTCTAGCGACTATCATCATGCTCGCCATTTCTTCATCCAAACATCGATATACCTAGATGCCAAGCCAATGCTCACCGGATCTCTAGCTGCTGCAATGGATGTGGCACATTCTCTGGTGACATTTGTCTCAAAGGTCAGCCCGGCTGGCTCAGCATCCTCACCTGCTTTCCCTGTCGATGAAGCACCACCGTACCTCCCTCTCCAAAAATCCAGCAGCTTCATGCTAGGATTCTTGTTCACATCTGTGACGCTATTTGCTAGTCGCTCGAGCCACTCTGACGGTGCCACGACTTCGAAGGAAGGCATGGCTCGATGCTGTCTGAGCATGGGCAGGAGCTCCGAACTCCAGCTGAAGGTCGATGGGTTCAGGAGGTGATACACAACGTCCTCAGCATCACCCGCTGGCTGAGATGTTGGCAGTGAGAGTTCAACGACAGCCTTCGCACAAGCATCTACTGGCAGCCAGCTTGGCCTCTCATTCAGCTCCGGAAGGCAACCGGTCGTCAGAGCACTCCTGATCATTAATGCAATCGCCTCTGTCTCATTCCAACTCGCGCTGCCTGCGTCTCCGCTCAGCTGTCCTATTCTCAGCACTCTTGATTGCATGCCTGGATTTCGTTTCGCTGCGGCACGAGTGATGTGCTCGGTCACTAGCTTCGATCGTCCGTAGCCCATCTTTTGCGCATGACTCAGATCTTCGATGTGTTTTTCACGGATTGTGGCGGGTTTCGGTGTGCCTGACGCTGCAGAAATTGAGGAGCAGAAATAGAACGATGGTATACTGGGAAGTTGCGATCGCAGGCAGAAGTTGATAAGATTGTGTGTTCCGCGGATGTGGTGCTGTTCGAACGATTTGACTCCGAGGTTGAAGTTCACAGCCCAGGCGGAATGGATGACACAGGTCAGGTTGCTCAGGAGATGACTGAGATCTTTTGAGTGAAGTCCGAGATTTGTCTGTGACAGATCAGAAGGGACTGCATGGAGCTTGCTAAGCTCAGAATCTGTAACATGGATGCTTCGCGCAGCAAGCGCAGACATCACCCGGTCTCCAGCGGCGGCTTGTCCTGGTGCTCGAACGAGACACCACACTTCGGTGACATCTTCCCGGGCAAGTAACTCTGAAATAATGAACGCTCCCAGGTTACCTGTGGCTCCCGTGACCAGCACGACTTGAGATTTTGGTTGGGTGGCGAGAGTCGGAAAGTGCGTAGTGAAGGATGAGTAGCGATCTATGAGCTGTTGCATGATCGCGACCTCATCTTCATGCTCAGAATCAGGTGGTGCTTCGCCTGTTCGGAGCTGGTACAGGTGTCGAGCGAGAGACGCGACAGTGCCCTTGTCGAATACCACATTTTGAGAAAGATGAGCTCCACCTTTGCCGAGATCGAGGTCCTTCTTGATGCTCCGCCACAGTCGTGTGGTTTGCAGGCTGTCGACACCAGCGGAGAAAATGTCAGTCTCCGTGCTTGGAAGTGGAATCTCAAGTTCTTCCCGAAACTTGGACAACAACCATTCCTCCAGACCTGCAACGTCCAACGTCAGTCCTGAGCCTGACTGGTCATCTCCACCTCTCTCGTATGCCTCGTATACCTCGGTGATATCGGCTGCAAACTGCTGGTAGACTTGCGCCCGGATGAAAGTTCCCTTGTCTGTCCTCGGATACAACACATCGGCGCCCTTCACAATAACCAACTCTTTTGGCACACGGCTGAATGTCTCAGCATGCAGATTCGCCTTCTCAACACTCGGCCAAACCTGCTCAAGGAAGTCTTCGTCATTCAAATTCAGACCGGCCTCTTGTGACCGGAAGATGAGCACTCCTGGAACTGTTCTTTGAAACCCGAACACGACCGCCTCTCTCACCAACTCATCTTGCCTGATGGCCCCTTCGATGGGGATTGGCAGCACCTTCTCTCCATTAACCAGAGTCAATCTCTCGTCCAATCTGGACAGATACTTGTAGTAGTTCGACTTTCTCGGGTCGGGATGTCGCGTGAATAGATCGCTGGTCCGGAAACTCCTCTCGGGATTCTTCTCGCTATAGGGCGGCGCGCTATTGCTCGGGCCTTTCGATGGCAGCCCGTCTAACCCCACGCACTCGAATACCCCTGGAGCAATCTCGTCCATCAAGGTGTGGTCTGCGGCTGGGCGAAGCAGGCGCATATACTGCCATTCAGTGTCTCCAGGAGGACGGAATGAAGTCATGATCTGACCGATTTCTGTCGATCCATAATTCGCCACCAAATTCACTCCAGCAGCAACTAGACGATCGCCGAGAGAATCCGGACATGAGGATCCGGCGAAGAGAACCAGTTTCGCTGCCGCCAACACTTTTACGCCTTCATCTTTCTCCGCTAGCAACTGCAAGACATAAGGCACTGCGCACACCTGCTGCGGCTTTGCTACACTAATTGCAGCGCATAGATTGTCCGAGGTTACCGGTAATGAGTGATTACCCAGGTACATTGCTGCTCGAGTGTAAAAAGCTCGACCTAATTCCATCAGGCCATGGGAGTGGAAGAGTGGGGAGCAGCAAAAAGCCCGGAGGCCGAACGATTTCCTGAAGTTGGCTAAGCAGGCCAGATTGCTGAGGAAGATCGGTTTTGGGAAGCCCGTTGAGCCTGAAGAGTGCAATATCCATGCCATTTTCTTGGCCTCTTCTGCAAGATCGACGCATCCAGGGCGCTTGAATGCAGGAGCCGGAGACGCAAGATCTCGATAGTCTTCACGTTGAAGAATAGGAATGGTGGTGAGGCCTTGCCGTCCTGAGACGCTGATCTCATCGACAATCTTGAAATTGGCATTGGGCACAATGAGAGTATTGCAACCGGCCATCTCCAAGAGCCGAGCGTAGGCTGGCGCTGTCAACCTGGTGGAAAGAAAGAGTGCCGTGATGCCCAATCTGTTCAGAGCGAAGACAGAGACGACATATTCAAAGCTCGACGTTGCAAGGAGCGCGACCACCGGTGCCTTCTTCGCTGCTGGATCCGCAGGAGTGAGGCCATTGTTCAGGTAGTACTGGACTGCAGCATCTGTATATGCGTCGATGTCTTTGCCGGTGTGCTCTTCGAAATCTGAAGCTGTTGACTTCGGATAGCAGATCAACGGTATCTGTTCTACTTCTGCCGCGTGTGATTTGAGTAAGCCGTCTATCGTCATGAATCTGTGTATGGGTAGATGTGTTGGGTCATGGTGGGCCAGCTTAGGAGTGAATGGCTGGTTGACTTCGCTGCCCCTGACAGATGGCGTGCTTGTTTGCGTTTGAGTGGCCATGTTGTCTGATGCAAAAGTGTTCTCGACGCCCGTCATCTTGGGGTTGGCAATAGTTTTGTATGAATCAAGTCTTAATGCTGGCAGGAGGTTGAGGTTCTTGTCGGAGAAGAATCCGTATTAATCCGGGACGCCGAGTGGAAGTGGAGGGGCTCTCCGCAATCGCAGCACGTATGTTTGCTCCAAACGGCTGCCGTTGCCGCCTCCTGCAAGAAACGCGTTGCATAGCGACCGACTGTCGAGCTGCCGTCGGTAGTTGATAGCTGTCTGTGCGGAGCCTTCAAAAGCCCATCCTCAAGGCTCAAGCGACCGCAACATTTCCACGTATGTAGGGCAACCACGCGCCTCCAATCGCAAGGCTGAGATGGGTTCAGGCATTCCTGGCAAAGCTTATCCGACCTCGATACTATGTGTCGCTTCCAACTTGTCAGTGCCGGTGCGGGGAGAACCCTGCACCTCCGAGAGAGGAACTACACCGCTTTTTTAGTGGCTTCTGAATTATTTCTCCTCCTTCTAATATATAGAATCCTCTAGTATATCGTAGATATCGTGTCGTCGGTATTTTAGTAGTATAGACCCTTCCGAGGTATTATTATCGTTACTATAGCTGTCGCCGCTATAGTAAAGAAGGTACATATTAATCTCGACTAGCAAGGCCAATTAATAAACCTATTTAGCAAAGGGATGTCTCCTAAGCAAATACTAGCCTTCTCGAAGTTGCTATTATCCGTACGGATAGTATATCGCTATTAGACTAAGTAGAAGCTATTTAGCGAGTTATATATACCTAGAACTAGCACCTCTCGTAATATATACTATATTATAATGCTAGCTAAAGAATAGGACTTCCTATATAGTTTCCTTATAGACTATCCGGACGCATACTTTAATAAGATAATCTAAGCTCTTTAGGACGAGTTTATATATTTAAAGCCTATCTTAGAGGATAGTAAGGGTATAGAGATTAAGCCGCGGTTACTAACGAAGGTATTAAAGCAGAAGATAGGTCTAACTCGGACGGAAGTAAAGCGTTAGGCGAAGGAGCGCAATCCCTTCTTAAGGGCGTTATAGACGATTAGGTGCGCTAAATAGCCGGTAGATCGACTAGTGTTTATCGACGAGACTACTAGCAATTAGAAGATAGGTTAACGCAAGTATAGATAGTCTCCGAAGGGCATAACCTGTATTAATGTTTAGTATACTAAGAGAGAAGTTAGATAGTTAGTTTTACCGGCTTTTACGGTATACGGGTATCTGCCCTATACGTATATTTACTAAGGGTCGATTAACGTAGAGCGCTTTTAAACCTAGCTCGAAGATTAGGTATTACCGTACCTTAAAGATAGTCCGCCGATAATCTTTATAATAGACAATACTAGTATCTACTATAGTAGAAGGGTAAAGGAGCTAATACTAGAAGCCGGCTATTATCTCGAGTACTTACCGCTATACTCGCCGGATCTAAACCCTATCGAAGGGAGCTTTAATCTACTAAAGAAAGTTATTAAAAATTATAGAGATAAGCTTCTAAAGTTCTATAGGTTCTAAGACTACTTACTATAGTGTTTGTATAAGTATAAAGGCCGTAGGGCGCGTAGACTCTTCGCTTATACTAGATATAATATTAATAGAGTCGATATTCCGTACGATCTAGCCGAATTCGAATATACTACTAGAGCGGCTTAGAATATACTAGCGCTCGACCCGGAAGAGTCCTAATAGATAGAATAGGCTTAGAATACCTTACCGTCGATAATTAAGGACGTATCGGAAGTGTATTGTAATAGTAAGGGTGTATTTAATAAAGATAATAAAGATAGCGAATAAGAGGTAGACTTCGAGGATTTCGAGTAATATAACTAGTCGCTACTAGCGCGCGGAAAGCGCCGAGTAACCCGAGTTAGAGATTCAAATAAATATATTCGAACGCTAGCTTTGCCTATTGCGCTTAGTGTTCTATAACTAACGTATTATATTAATCGATTATATATAGGCTAAAATAAGTGCTATTACCGCAAGAATCTCCCGCTTATTACAAGTTTATATATATTATAGATATATAGCGATTGTAGCCTAAACGAAGCTAAGAATTCTTAGAAATTCTCTCCCTCCTAAGTAGCGGCTGCTTCCGCCGCTATAATCTTATCCTATTTCTTCCTTATAAACTCGACGATAGCTTTCTTTAACCTTAACCTTATTCTATCTACTATATTAAGTGCCGCCGGCTAGTCGTCCTTAGTTAAATTATAGATAGTCTCTAGCGTCTATCCGGAAGATACGAAATAAGTAATATACGGGCGTAATTCGTCGCAATCCTAAAACCCGCGCTATAAGCCGACCTACTAGAAGAATTCGACGGTTAGCTTCGAGGACTATATAATATTGCGAGGCATCGCCGGCGGGTCTCGCAAACTAGTTCTAGTAAGAGCGCGAGTAGGAGTCTTATAAGGAGTACTAGGAATTATACTAGATCTACGTAGCTTACTATCTAAGAAGTGCCTTATCTCGTCGCCGAAGGAATTAAGGATAATAGGTTAAGAGCCGATACTAACGCTAGCTAGTTTACGAGGCAAGTCGCTCTTACTACTACGACGAGCCCTTATCTTCTTAACCTCGCCTTTCTAGAACTGCAACTTAATCTTCCTTTTAATTACTATTACTTCGATCCTTACTAGCATTCTATCGTCTAGTTTATTAGTCTCGGTCCGCTTCTACTCGCTAGAAGAGATAGCTTTATAAGCCTCAATTATAGCGGCTTCGTAGAACGGAAAGTAGTTCTTACTATAGTCCTTTAAGGCCTTGTCTCGGAAGTAGACATACTTACCTGCCTTATAATAATTTAGATAGTCTATATAACTATATAAGAAGTCTCTAATAATATAATAGTCCTACCGCTTCTAAGCCTCTAATTTAGCTGTTATAACGCCGGCGTTAGTAAGCTAAATTAAGGTTAGATTAGAAGCCGGTTTAACTAACTTCTTAGCGCCTAAAGGTCTAGCTACTACTATTGCTTTAGGCTTCGATAAGAAGTCGATATTAATAAAGACATTCTTCCGCGAGGCAAGCGCTAATTCTCCGGGAACTAGATATAGTATACGACTATAGAGAAAACATTCGTACTAATAAAGACAAAGCTAAGCTCTTATTAGCTGCCGTATAACTGCTTGCGAACGGCGTAATGCTTACTAGAACTTCTAGGTAATAACCTCGAACGCGTAGCTCGCACTATAGCTTAGCTAGATTGCAGTTAGGTACTAGCTAAACGTCGACTAGCCTACGCTAATAGTACGCAGCTTAAGCGGAAAGATCTCGGCTACAATAACCTATATAGCGCTATTAAAAAAGACACTATACGACAGTACGAAGAGGAAAATAAACGCTATCCTAGCACGCTATCCCGCTTTGTTAGGATTGTTATTTTCGCTATATAATGCCGATATAACCGTAAGTACGATAAGACAGCCTATAAGGGCGAGCTAGCCGGTAATAACAGTCCGTCGGCGCGGCTAATAATCTGCGACTAGGAAGATAGAGAATATCTAACCTACAAGCGCTATAAAGCCGTAGATTGCGGTAATAAGAAGAGCGGTGTTTCCTAGGTCTATATATACTAACTAAGAATGCGAGGGTAGTAAACCGCTACGGCGGCTAGGTTTGTAGCGGCGGCTTGTCCACTTCTATAGTTGTTTCTATAGTTGTTTATAGGCTATATATAGACCGCTAAGAGGTCTAATTTCGAGCCAATTTAAAGCCTTGTAATCGTATAGTATAGGCCTACTTATAATAAAGCCAAACTAGACCTTATATAGCGGCTATTTCTATCTCTTGTTTATCGACCTATTCTATCTCTTCCTCGCGGTTACGTATCGCGCTTGTTTTAACCTTACTATCGCTATATATGCTAACTATTTATCGCCGGAAGAGGTAAACGCGTTACTTAGTAAGCTAGAGTATAAGCAGCCGGTACGTCGTCTTATCGTAAAGTAGATAATCGCTAAGGTATTGTTGTTATCGCAGTTTAAGAGCCCGTTTCTACTAAATATATATTAGTAAAGGTAGATATTCTTCTACCCTCGTAACCGTAAATACCGTCTAGAAGTAGATAATATCCGCCTTCTAACCGGCTATATTATCTGTAAGCAGTTAGGCGTACGAATAAGTAGTTTCGAATACGACGAATATCGAGCCTTTGCTACTAATATTTAGCTTCTTAAGAGTCGACCGGTAAAGCTGTTTATAGATCTAGTAAAGCGGCTGTTTCGTAGGGTAAAGTTCGAGTATCGCCTTTATAAACGGTTTATAGACTATTAGCGAGCGGAAATCGATAGGAGTAGTAATAGTAGTAGCGGCGGCGGTAGTAGTAGAGCGAGTAGTCGACGGCGGAAGCGTATCGCTTAGAAGGCGCACAATTACCCTATGAAATTAACTATTATCGAGTTCTACGAGAAGGATTAAAATAGCGATTTAGGCGTGTTTCTCGATAATATAGTACTAGTAGACTTACCTACTAATATAACGGTACTAAGGCCCTCGCGGGTTATTCTACTGCCGCTAAACTATTGCTATTCGTATACTCTTAAGTTTATCGATAGAATATAGGTTAATAATAGTATAAAGGCTGTTTAGAAGGAAATACTCGAATTTCGAGTAGGTAAGTATAGTCTATAGCTCTTAGCGGCTTATATTAACCTGTTTCTAGGTTCTTCTACCGTTTCCGAGTTAGTAAACGAAATAAGAAGGCCTAAACAAGCGACGGTTTAGCGAGACGCAAGTACTATAAGAATTATATACAATCGAGTCCGTAATGCTAACAAAGCCGCTATTACTCGAACAAGCGACAAACGTAGGTCTAGCGCTAGCGAGTCGATTTAACGATAGTTATAATAGGCCCTAGAATACTTAAATGCCAAATTCGGCCTATATAGCTACAATCTAACTAGTTAGGCAGAGGCAATCTATTTAGTAGGCGACAAGAAGGGCACCTACTAATCTAGCCTTGTTTAGGCCTCTAACTAGTAACTATAGCTTCTTCGCAACTATAGTAGCTTGTTCTTACTAGATTCCACATTTAGTATAAACAAACCTCTTTAGCTACTGTTTACTATATACGTCCGCAACTAGCATCTCGAGTAGCTTCCGGCTAGTTATATGCTTCTATCTTATAAGCAGGCGCACCTTATTAAGAAGGCTATAAGAACGCTCCGTTCTATAGCTAAAACTAACTTCTAAGTCAAATTGAAC